AGGTCTGTTCGCATTGCTCGTACTTTTTACACTCAGCATCTTCGCTTTCTTCCGTTCGAACATCCGTATATATATTTAGGTCTGTCGCGTTGCTTGTACTTTTTGCACTCAGCATCCTCGCTTTCTCTCTTTTCAACGTCCGAATTATTTATCTCCTTTTAAGTGCAAAAATTTTGGGGGATTTCAAGCAACGTAGACCTTTTAGGTCTGTTCTTTTTAGTTAAAGTTCTCGCACGGTATATCTTTCTTCCTTTTCGCTCCACGTTGGAAAGAAAAAGAGAAAAGATGAACCGTGCTAGAAGTTCAGTTAAAAAGAACATGCCTTTTATCTTAAAAGTGCAAAAATTCTGGGGGATTTCAAGCAACGCGAATAGACCTAAAGGCATACTTAGGAGCCAGTCTCACCATTTCGATTAACTTAAGATCTGTTCGTGTTGCTTGCACTTTTTGCATTCAGCATTTCCGCTTTCTTCCTTTTCAACGCGCAAATATATATCTATCTCATTTTAAATGCAAAAATATTTGGGAATTTCAAACAACGCGAACAGATCTTTAATTGTCCAATTAAATTTCAGCCGTACTTTTTACCTCATTTCAAGATATACAATAGAGACCTCCTGATTATTATCTTTTCGCCATGAATAAAATATCATATAGTAACTATATATATCTACTGTATGTATAATTAGATAATTTTATTTAATATATAATTAGATAATTATGTATTAAATAATTTTAACTTTTCTTTCTTTTGAACCTGTTTGAATACTTGTGTTTGAAAGAGGATGAGATGGAGAAGAGGCACAATAAATATAATGATACTTTTTTTACACTGACACACTTTTGTATTTCATATATAATTCCAAGTATTTTACAGAACATCGGATAACCTATGTGTTATCATTTTACTAGTTTAACAAAATAATTCTAAACATATGCTTACTGTGAACATATGTATATATCTATACTTCATTATCTCATGTTCTCAATGTTGTTGCTTATTGGAAATATGTTGACTTACAGAATCAGTAGAGTCCGTTGCACCAATATGAAAATCAAAAAAAGATAAAAATAAATTGCAATTGTAATATCTATAATATATAAACATAAAAGTAAAAATGATTAATTTAATTGTAAATTAAATCAATAACTTTTAATTAGTGACTCGCGTTAATTTCAATTGACGCTAAAAGTTAATTAAAGATATGTTCCAAAATGTAACTAAGGGTCTGTTCTTTTTCGAAGAATTCTGAACTAGTTCTGAATTAGTGCAATAAGAAGTTAAGAGTGAAACAATATCTGTTTCACTCTAACTTAAGCCTTGAACACAATGAAAAGCACAGGCAATAGGAACAGGAAATAAGAAATTTCAATCTAATAGAAAGCATTCATTCTAGTATACATGGTTTCTGATAGGTTGAAATTTATTATTTCCCGTTCCTATTGCCTGTGCTTTTCGTTGTTTTTCCAGTTTTATGTATCAGTGTACACAAGTTTCAAACTTGGAGTGAAAAAAGAACAGACCTTTTATTTTTCAAAGTGTCATCCTATATACATCCCTGTCGTGCATATCCTTGCATTTCATTGGATCCTGCTCAAAACAAAAGCTGCGCATTCATACCTGCGCGAACATGCATTTTTCGCGGAGTGTTAATTGATGCGTTATTCCAATTGGCGTGTCAGGCCAATATTATTATACATGCATCCGTTTTTTATCGTACGACGAATTTCTCAAGCGTGTTAATAGGCTGCAAGACAGAGAGGATCTTGAATCTCTTTGTTCTATAACCAATCGACAGGCTTGAAAAATTTGTCGTACGACAAAAGATGGACGTATGTAGAGGAAAGTGAGGGGAACTGTACGCAGCGGGTAATTGTGCGCATCCTGGTTTGGTATTTTTCCAATGGATGAAGATATCACTGTGGTGAAATTTTTACGCAAGATGTCGTCCTCTTAAGATATAACTACAAAAGATTAAGGCCGGAATCCATAGTCCGTTCTTAATCTCAAGCAAGGTCTTAAGATACTAATATGGCTCTCTGATTGGTTCATGCACTAGTTTAAGACCATCTCGAATCTTGAGCAACGTCTGTGGATTCCGCTTTTAATCCCGGATCTACAATAGTTTTAAGCCTTAAGTCATAAGAAATGGACGAATCATCAGTCAATGGCTGCGTTCAGCAGAACGTTTGTTTTGCAACTGTTGGAAGTTTCCTTCGCGCTAATTGGATCATACTTTTAGATCTAGAAGAATGGTCCTATCTCAGCAGACAATCATAAAACGGTTGCAAAACTGTTGAGTCTGCTGAACGCAGCCAATTATTCTTCTCGAATTCGACTGTAATTGGTCAGTTTCTTACGACTTAAGGCTTAAAACACCTATTGTAGATCTGGGGTAAGTCCAGATTTTCAAGTGACTGTAAACAATACAAATCGCGCTCAAATAACAAAACGTTCTGAAGAAGGTTATGGTCAAAAATGTCAAACTTTCTAGTGGAAACGTCAGATGGCACTTGACAACACTCAGTGCTGCCAAGGCTCAAAATATAAGTAGTGCCCCTCGTACTTAGCTTTCATATACTACATGACTAGCACTAAATTTTTCGTTTTTTCTTGCATTATTTTATTTTGCCATCTTGACAAAGTCTATGTGCATTATTATTATTATATTAGTTTTGTATTTTTGCTTAATATATATTTAATATATATTTATATTGCAATATAATAAATAATTTTCTTATTTCTTTGTCATAATTCATTCATTTCCTACGACTTTTGCTTTGCGCACAATTACCCGACGCGCGAGAAATTTTTTCGCTTTTCCGTTTTTTCCTTTTTGCTAAATACAACCTTATTGAATGAAAATCTGTTCGATATGAGGATACATAATGATAAAAGAATGTTTATAGTTCCTATTTCCATACTTATATCGCTTTGAACTTGGAAAACCATTCCAAGACAATAAATTTCCCTTAGATGCGCACAATTCACCCACTTTCCCCTAATATTGGTCTCACGTTACGAATTGGAGATTGAGAATTACAAATTGAGGATTAAAATTCAATCACACAATTTGCTTGAGACTATTATGCATACCGGCCTAGAGCTTTTGTTTCGAAAATAACAGCAAAACTACAAAATCTAAAATAGTCTAATTATTCTAACATTTTCAGATATTATCAATATATAATATAATTATTAATTGAATGAATTGTATATAATTGGTCAATTTCAAAATATATTTAATAAATTTAATCGAAGGGAAAAATTCTACGAATGTGATAATCGATTAGTGCAGCTGGTCCTGATTACGTCCTATCGCTAGAAAGATGACGAATCCAATGACTGCGCGATCAAGGGATAACTTTTCTTTTTTGTTCTTTATTTAATTAACGAAAGCAAATGTGCGCAAATGAAGGAAACCGCCAGGAGATACAGTATGTGCATATTTTTCACAGTTGTGATACAGTTCGCAAGTCGGAACCAATAAGAGACTGCGCATGGAATAGGGAACAGAGAACAAAGAATAAGAATTTCACCTATCCTGAACTATGTATTCCACAGATGATTTCTGATAGGTTGAAATTCTTATTCTCTGTTCCCTGTTCCTTATTCCTTTGATTGTGCGGAACTCCTAAAATTATCCGGTAACGGACCATATATATTTACAAAAAATTTATGTACCGAGATTATTCATTTGGAATGTTGCAACTTTCAGTTATACTCATGGAAAAATAATAAAAAATAATTTTTTAAATAAAAATAATTATATAGCTATAAAAGATGTAAAATAAAATGAAAGCTTTATGAAATGTACATAATAGATATTCCGATGCGTTAAATAATTAAAATTAACATAAAAAAAAATATTAACATTCGTCACATTCGCACGATAAATAATTCAATCAAATTATTTTTACCTTCGTTAAATCTATTATTTTAGAAGAGAAAGTAAACGCGGGAGAAATTTTGACGTGACTTAATGAGACATACGTGAGCACCGATATCATTGAAGCGACTTATAAAACATGAAAATTAAATTAAATGAAAATAAAAATACAACGATATTCTTCGTGAATTCAAACTTCTTTGAGGAGACACGAGCTCCTAAATATTTTGGTTCCTATTGGGATCGAATCCTTTGGCATGATAGACCAGTGCGCTGTCTGCCATGCCACGCTCGCGCTTGAATTCGAACTATTCTTCAAAAAGTGTCCTCATACAATCGATTCGATTTCAATATCTGTATATACCAATATACATATTTGTTGCTATCAATTTAATTCACTGAGTTAAATTGATAGCAACTCATCTCGTTAAGATTCTTGAGCAAATAAAAATTAGCGTTATTATTTTGAATACTGATAGCATGATTTCTATCAGATAGATTTGTCAAAGTCACATTACATTAGGATATGAGAAACATTAGAATAATATTTAAGAAAATAGTCTGATAGCCTCAATGAGCTTTGTCATAATCACATAGAGGTAGCAGTTCGAAATAATTAAAAGAGACTAAAATCTATTATAAAAACTAAAATTATGAAAGAATAAAATTTTTAAATTCCCTGTATCAATAATACGGTGTACTAACGGAACGTTAATGTTGACGTCGACCAAATTGAACAGCGATTAATTTTAATACTACCAAATTAATTACCGATCATACGAGAGACTTTGGCATCATACAACGAATTCGGGAGAATAATTTTTATTTGGTACAGTACCTCAATCGGGCAAAAAAGGAACAAATCTTCAAGCTTTGATCTGCGAGTTTGTCTTCCAGGCTGTTCTGGCTATCGTTAGTGTTGTTCAAGTTGATAGTGTGATTTCCTTGCGACAATTTTATGACGGATTCGTTCAGATTGCTGCCTATCGATTTCTGCATCTTCAATACGTCGCCTGATGCCTCAAAGATCGAAGTGATTTCGAAGAGATCCTGATTATCTATGTATGTGATAGTGTCGGAGTCAGATTGACTCTCCTCTTGTACGATGATGACCTGCGAAGGTTTTTCCATCTCAGGATTCAACTTGATCTCCATCTCCTGAGTGATATCGATCTCCACCGCCGAGTCGGTCTTTCATTTCGTATCTGACGACTAAAATTTGCGTGAGATTGTTCAGAACTGACTTCTGTGACTCCTTTTACACTGTTAAATCGGTTAGTATGCGTATCTTAAATTGAACGAACTAAATATTTGGTACGTCCTTATTTAATTTGAAGCGTTTAATATACGATTTAAAACGAACCAAGTATTTACAGCGCATTGAGATTTTTTGATACCATTTGATACGCGTACCAGCTTGGTCTCGCGATTCGGGAGTACCAGATCAGAGCGCACTGAAGTAATTCCCCAGCGTTTATACTGAACGTACCAAGTGATTTAGTACGCGTAATACTACCAAGTACTTGGTGTAAACTAGGCTTGTATCTTCATTACGTTGTAGAAAATGCTGTACAATTCTGGACTCACCTTCTCCATCTTTGATATATCGCTAGGCTTATAATAATTAACCACGTAACACTTGTTCGAATACCTTGTTGCTCGAGATCATCGAATCCTTTTTCGGAGTAAATCTATCACTTGATGTGATATTACTGCCGCTCATCGTCGTATTTTGGATTTTTTTCTGAACATTTTCCAACATCTCTTCCTCTTTTTTCATCGCAACTTGTTCCGTCTCTTCCTTTTCTACTTGAGTCAAATTGCTCTTTGTTGCTTCTGTGTCATCGTTGTACTCCCGCTTCTTATCGTATATGCTCTGTTTCCGTTTTACAAATACTCTCTCGAACGATAGCTGCTGTTCATCTTCAGACTCATGTCGTCATGTCGCTTCGGTAATATTTCGTCAATCGCCTCGTAGTCTTGTTATATTTCTTCGCTTGCGGCTCCTTAATTTTCAATCTCTACTATTTCCGCTACTTCCCCAACTGCTTCAACCTCTACTATTTCTGCTACTTCTCCAATTGCTTGAACGTCTACTATTTCTGCTTCTCCAACTGCTTCAGTTTCTCCTTGGATTTCCTGATCCTGGCCCTGGGTGATCAATTGCTTCTTTTCCGAGCTCTTTAGCGTATCGTTGCTAGATGACGCCGAAGTACCTTCTGTTTCTTGACGTTGTTTCGCAGATTGCAATAGCGCTTGTATCAAATTCTGATTCTTGTCGAGCGGTAGCTTCCTTACTTCTCGCTTCACTACACTGCCAGTCGATAGTTTTGTCAGTTCTGCGGAATTTATCGTGGTACCATCTGGATTCATGATAACTTCAGTAATATCATTCTTTCGGATAATTCTACTGACAATCACTCGTTTGACCTTAAGCGAGCCGGGAATACCACTCAGAGAAGAATCTCCATCTTTGATACCGGATGTACTAGCTGGTGTTTCTTCGTTATTTCTTCCTGTCGGTTTCTGCACCACAATTCTTTTAATCCTTTTAACTTTGATGATCTTAGGAGTGGATGCTCCTAAAATCTCTGCTTTATCGTTGTCCTCGCAACTTTCTTGAGAAGAGCTGTAGACTCCCATCACAGGTGTTAGCGATTCTTTAGATTGATCTTGGCCGTTCTGTTGGTGCTTCAATGAGGTCTTCTGTTCTTTGAATACCGAGGTGACGATCTTTTGCACTTGTGTCTCAGTGTCCACGTGGCTACTTTTGGGAGTCTCCTCGATTTGCGATGACATGAGGCCTTTCGAGCTGCCCTGAGAAGAAGAATCGATTGAAGTAGTTTGTTTCGTGTTCTTGAATATTGCTGTCTGCTCTTGAATATCGTGTATACGCTCGATAGGCGGGAATGTCGTGATCTTGACCATGCTACCATGTTTGCTACGTACATACATCACATTGGGTTTTTCCTTTTCTTGTTTCTCGGATTTCTCTTTCTTGTCTTCTCTATTCTGCTCTTTTTCCTTCTCATTCTCTGAGGTCATTGGCGGCTTTGGTAACTTCTTCACAACGTACGCTGGCGGCTCATGATCATCGTTCCTATTAGAATGCTGATCTTTTACTTTTTCTTTTTCTTCCTTCTCATTAAACTTTAGTTTAAAATTTTTCTTAGTGTTGGACTGTAAACTGCCTATTTTCTCGCCTGCTTCGATATGCTGCTTGATGTGGATGACATAATCGGCGCGATTACGACAAGATTCTTGACAGACGTCGCAGGTGAGGCCCATGTATGTACGTTTTGCGTGCGTCAACTGATTCATCTTTAAGCTCTTCTTGCCATTCTTGTATACACGGCGCTTGTCCGTTGAATGGGACATACGCATGTGTCTAGTCAAATGATGCGATAGTAGAAATGTGCGAGGACACAATTTACACATATATGGTCGAGGACCAGCATGGGTAGATAGATGTCGGGCCAGCTTTGTGCAAGTACGGAAAGTCTCCTTACAGTAATCACACATGAACTTTTCATCCTTATTATTATGTAATATTTCATGCCGTTGCAGACCCTGTTTGTATAGGAAGCGCTTGTTGCAAATATTGCAACAAAACCGCTTCTCTTTCTTGTGTGCCAAATCCTTGTGCTCTTCGAGTTCCTCTGTAGTGAAAAATTCGTCGTCGCAATCGGGACAGGCATAGTGCGTCTCATCTTTGTGTACCTTCTTATGACGTTGCAGAGAAGTCTGTCGCGAGAACTGCTTCTGGCAGATCAAGCACGAATACGGCTTCTCCTGAGAATGTATACTTAAGTGCTTGCTCAGATCGTGTTTGTTGAAAAAGTTTTTCTCGCACTCGTTGCACTTGTAATTGCGAGCACGAATATGAACGCGCTGAACATGCAGCAGCAGAGCCTGACGTAATGCGAACGTACGTTCACATTGATCGCACGGGTGTACTCTGATCTCTGCCGGCTCTTGTTTTCTGTTTTCATTAATGTTACTCGCTTCCTGTTCACTCTCACTGCCTCTGTTCTGTTCTTCTTCGTAAAGATGCTGCTCGCTGGCATTTTGTGATTTTCTTTCCCTTTCTTTCTCCCTTTTTCTGGTCTCACGTTTCTCTCTAGTATCTCTGCTATCGTCATCAGAGGTGCTTTGCTTTTTCGAAACCTTGTTCTGCGATCTAGATTCGGCTAGTCTCTTGTTGCCGATCTTCGTCGGCGGATTGATAGGGATGGGCGGGAAGGGTTTCGGCAATTTTCCAGACAGAAGGTAGTCTTGTAATGCCTCGTCGGCCTTCTTGCATTGCAACTTGAATTTATACAAGTGGTCCAGATTCCAGCGGCATGTGTTACAGATCACCTGCGGCATCTCGTCCTCGGTATAGACCTATCAAGAAACAAAATGGTTTTTTAGGAACGTGTTGACCTATTGATGTTCTGGAAAAAAAAGTCTCTTTGGTGTTGGACGTTCTTCTTGAAAAATATCGTATATAAAAATACTAAGAAAATCTTATAATTATGGTGATTATACGTTCTTTACTGTAAAGGACAGTCCTTTATTTCAGACAGCTGTTTTTTTAGATTTATTTAATTTTTCAAAATTCAATTTTATCATTTATTTTAATAATATTATAGGAAATTCCGTTCTACTCAGACATCTCCAATGTATAATAAGAAAGAATAAAATAAACTGTCTCTTATTTAAACCATTTATCTATTAAAATAAGCCATCGTCACGCTCAAAAGTTCTACCTCCGGATGAGAAACTCCAAAGAGAAAGAAATCAGGCGAGATATGCAAATTAAATATCCTCTCTCGGCGGAATCGCGACATCACGTCGGATCGGCCAGCAATCGCTGCTTATATATACTAACGTACGATCGTCAGAGGCTTTCTACAATAAGTCATTACCTAAGCTTTAAAGCTTAAGCTATAAAAAATTGACCAATCATAATCGATTATTTTTCTTACATTCGACTGTGATTGATCAATTTCTTATGGCTTAAAACTTAGATAATGGCTTATTGTAGAAAGCTTATTAAGGCTGCTTTGTATAGACTTTTGTATAACGCTGTATAACGCATAAGACTTAAGGCATAAGAGAATCAACTAGAGTATGAAATAAAGGATTGGTTGTTTCTCTTATGTCTTATGCATTAGCATTGTGCAAAAGTTTGTGCTGTGGTCCTTACCCAGGAGGAGAATTCGGCGAGGCACCTCCGGTGGTCATATCATTGACTGCTTGTTAAGGATATCATTCAAAGACATAGAACATGGATTGTGCCATCCTTATCTAAATAGTATCTTTAATGCAGTCAACAAAAATGAAAAGGAGCATAAAGACAGTCAATCTTTCTCGCTTTCTAATATTATACCATTTAATAGAAAAACATAGAAACTGGCTGTCTTTGCGTCCTATCTCTCTTATTTTTATAAATCAAGTATAAACACGAATTGCGCAGTCCATGATCTGTAGATGGTATTCATAATTCGTTCTTATTTTAAGATAGTCTTAAGTAATGTCATAAGATGCTAATACAGCCTTTTTGACCAGTTCATAGTCGATTCTTATTTTAAGTAATGTTTTAAGATATTAATAGCATTTTTTGGCAGAACTAATGCACATTCAGTGCACTTTAAAGCTATTGTACACAAAATTAAAGATGTTGTACATAAAGATGTATGTTTAATAAAAATATAGAAACGAATTAAACCATGAAATATTCAATACATTTTATTGTGCTATTTGATAAAATACACATTGGGCATTTTATCAATTAAGATATCTCATTTTTATATTTAGATTATAATAGTATACAACAGCTTTAATGTTCACTGAGTGCGCACTAGTTCTGCCAATGAAAAACGCTATAAGGCTGCCTTCCCATGGAGAAAGAAACCATCGAACGGAATATTTACAGAAAAGAGATAGGATGAGAAACTCCAAAGAGAAAGAAATCAGGCGAGATATGCAAATTAAATATCGTCTCTCGGCGGAATCGCGACGTCACGTTGGATCGGCCAGGATAACCCTCATCCTATCTCTTTTCTATCAATATTCCGTTCCGTTGTTTCTTTCTCCATGGGAAGGCAGCCTAATACTGAGACATATATCTGTAGCCTAGAGAACACTATATAAAATACAAGTATAAGACTAGGTCCACAACCTTGCTTTAAGAAGCCTTAAGTCATAAGTCAAAAGAGATTAAGTAACAATAATTTCTGTCTTTAAACTGTTTTTGCATAGCTTTTAGGCTTTAATCATAAGACTTAAGCGAATTGAGCAAAACCCAATTCTTATGGCCTAAAAGCATAAGTTCCGTGGCTGATATACCATCACTTACAACTTAAAGCTTACGGCTTACAGCTTTTTAAAGCAAGATTGTGGACCTAGCCTAAGATATTTCAAAGACATTATCAAGATGTCTTTCAGACATCATGTCATAAAGATGTTCTTAAAACGTCTATAAGACTTTATGTCTTCTTTTGAACATATATGCTGCGTGAGTGACAACTTAAGACAGTCTTAAATATAAAATCCGACTATGAATACTGGCCTTTGATTGACTTATGACATCTTAAGACTGTACCTAAAACAGTCTCAAATATATATTTGATATTCTTACAAGAATGATTATAAGAATCTTATAAAAATTGACTATGAATACCAGTCTTTGGTATTGTTTGCGGCAGGGCCACTCACCTCTCAAGTCTCACCTCGATAGCAACGCAGGACATGATCTGCAACTGGAGCGGTAGCTGGATCGACTTATTGTGGTTGCGCTCGTAGATGGAGTTCAGCGGTTCCGCATCCGATAAGCAGAATCGACAGATGCGCCGCAAGTACAGCGGTGCTGGATTACTCTCCATGATTGCGTTCCGTTATTCTGTAAATATTGAAAATCTGTATATATGTTACTTGTAGTAATTATAGATTTTCCAGGGTGCATTTCCTGTATGTCGGGGTATACGTTCGGACGAAGTGTGACATCACACACCGAGGTCGTCTCATGAAATGGAATTATTCTTGGGCGCTTTTGCACATACATGACATAAAAGTAACCCTGGATCTACAAGAGTTTTAAGCCTTAAGCCATAAGAAATGGATGAATCATAGTCGATTATTCTCCTTCAATTCGACTGTAATTGGTCAATTTCTTACGACTTAAGGCTTAAAACACCTATTGTAGAGAGATCCGGAGTAAGTAATACTAAACTCAGATATATAAAACTTTTAACATAGTATATTCTTTGTTTATATTCAAATAAAAAACTGACAGAACATAAACATAACCTGTAATGCAAGTCTACATATATTTGACCGTCGCGCTTTATTACACCATATTGTTCTGCGCATGCGAGACGTTTTTCGTCGAAGTTCCGATGAAAAGTTGTCGTTCGGACATTAATATGGAATGCATCCCAATAAGTACTTGCAATAAATAACGGAACGCACCAAGTCTACCGGTGTCTCTTTTCGTCTTTTTCCACTACTTCGTCTTCTTCCTCAGTAGTGTGAGCTGTTACACTTTTCGTCCCTCGGATTCACGGATGTTCATGTATCGAAACAGTGCCGGAGTATCCGGAGTATTCCGGAGCATTTCGGAGCATGGTAGAAGAGATCTTGGCTGCGTTCAGCAGAACGGTTGTTTTGCAACTGTTGGAAGTTTCCTTCGCGCTAATTGGATCATACTTTTAGATCTAGAAGAATGGTCCTATCTCAGCAGACAATCATAAAACGGTTGCAAAACTGTTGAGTCTGCTGAACGCAGCCCTTGTACCCAGGGTGTGCTCATGGAGTGCATTCAACAGCGGGATTCTCTAAATATTTATCGATGATTGTCGCTATCGTTAACTAGCGACAGCCAATGGTAATGCATGGTCTACAATGGCAGTATCAGTAATGGATGAGGCTGATGAGTAAGAAATTGACCAATCACAATCGATTATTCTTCTTACATTCAACTGTAATTGGTCAATTTCTTATGCGGGCTCTACAATAAAAGTCGTAGCGGTCGTAGAGTCTTAAGTCGTAGAAAATTGACCAATCACAGTTGACTATTCTTCTCATATTTGACTGTGATTGGTCAATTTTCTACGACTTAAGACTCTACGACCGCTACGACTTCTATTGTAGATCCCGCATTACCCCGGATCTACAATAGGGTTTTAAGCCTTAAGCCATAAGAAATGGGATCACAGTCGATTATTCTCCTCGGATTTGATTGTAATTGGTCAATTTTTTACGACTTAAGGCTTAAAACACCTATTGTAGATCCGGACTTACTGATACTGCCATTGTAGACGGCGCATAAAGGCCATCACACGTACAAAAATTTTAGTCGGAATCGTAAGGTCGCAAGCAAATCGACTAATTACAATCAAAATTAAGATCTCGCGTTTTTAAACGCTCGACTGTGATTGGCCGATTTGCTTACGACCTTA